ATGGACAGCATTTGTTAAAAGATTATTCACATTAACTAAAATTAGCGATGAATCTAACACTATAGAATTCAAAACCAAATTCAAACAAGTTTACTATAATAAAGTCTGGTTGCCAACGGTATTTAAACCAGAAAAGAATAAGCTACGTACTTTTAACAAGTTTAAACAAAATTTTGAATTTGAACCATATTTAGAACAAATCAAAAATGTGCAACACAGGGTCAGCTTCACTAAGTTTCGCATTTCTTCTCACGCGTTGCCAATTGAAAAACTTAGATATAATAAAACACCTCCAGAGCAAAGGTTTTGTTTTCTATGTAATGAACAGGCTATTGGGGATGAATTTCATGTATTACTCACATGTAAAAATAGTCAGATTGTACAAGCTCGTACTAAATTTGAAGCTGAATTAGCAATTTATGATGATAACATTTGCAAGTTATCAACTCATGAGAAATTCAAGTGCTTGCTAGGCACTAAAGATAGCTTTATTGTCAATTGCTTGGGAAAATTTATTGATTTTATATCTAAGCTTTAGTTTAGTCTATTGTTTTATTTGTGTTTTTCTTGACCATTGATTTATTGTATGTTTTTTTCATTCATGCTAAATTTTGTGTCAAATAAAATATCTATCTATCTATCTATCTATCTATCTACCTATCAAACGCAACGCGGTAGGGCGTATGTCAAAAATAAAAATTGGAAAACAAACCAATTACTTCATGTGCAATTTATTGGTAACCATGACGTATAAGCGATTCTCAAAGACTGGCCGGAAGAGGAACTCAGTAGAAGATATAAAAAAAGATGTTTTCGTTAGAGTGGGAAAACAGAGGTGTTAATCCGAAAAGTCATTGTCTATTCTTGTTTGTAGTCGTCCTGGCAACGTTTGGGGGATCGTGACGTAGCTACGTCTTTGAGAGGGCGTTTTCTTCCAGCATGTATGTGCGTGTGTGGCGATTATTACGATAATCAACACAAGAGGCAAGGTTAACCCTCTAAATGTTATTCTGAAGCATTTTTTACATAACTGGTAACTCACCCGTAGGTAGAGGGCGCGCTTACAGAATACCTCAACGGCTGCATACTGACCCTCATCTATGGCGTGAAGAAAACCTTCATCTATTGTGACGTCATTCTGGATTAGCAAATGTAACATATCTTTGAAGACAATAAATATAACGATTAGTAATTCGATCAAATCCGGTGTCGCCATTTTGGTGATGAAGAAGTCCGAAAAGTGACGATGTAAGGGTACTTATTGTATCTTTGTCACAAACCACCAAGGACAAAGTCCGAAAAAAGGGACTTCTTACATAAACCTATACTCGAGCAGTGTGCAGCTTCGCGTGCAGCTCGTCTCAGTGTTCTAATACGATCTGGAAAGCAGTGAGGCGCATAGTTGCGCACAGGGTGGTGCCGAGTGTGTTTGTAAAAAATCTGCTTTTGAAATCTTTCAACTTGTATATTTGTGTTCATACATGCATTCAGACCTACGAGCGTGACCTGAAAGATTGCCATGATTGAGTGCCACCATTTCTGTTTTGGATTTATTTGGTATCCTCGGGGGCGGAGCTACGTCACAGACGTTCCACGTTGCTAAGACGCGCACCACTGTACCATGCATTTCTATGGGCTCTCTGCGCACTGCTGTGGAACGCCGGTCGAGCCGGTGAAAATTCGAGAAAACAACACAAACTCAACTTTGAAGTAATCCCGAACAATCAAATTTATATATGTTACACACGTAGGGCTAATCTTGTTACACTGTTCAGAGAAGTCTCAACAATCACCCCCAAAGTACCGTTTTCTGCGAGTTTTGAGCCTTTGTTTTCACCGCCGCGGGTTGCCAGGCGGTGAAAATGCCCGGATGTCCGCCCCCGAAGATAATAATACAAATGTCTTGGTTGACCTCTTCGGGTCGCTAAAATTATATGTGACCGTTGTTGAGGTGAACAGTTGTAAAATGCTGTGTGTTTTGGAGTCAATGTGTAACTGAATGGAGTTATAAACATACCTATGTTCTCATTATCAATTGCCAATATAAGAGCTGATCGGCCTTTATAATCCACACAATGTTTGTCAAAAAGATGGCTATTTTGGAGAGCATATTGAACAGCGTCCTCTGCGCCTTCTTCCACTGCATTCAGGTACAGTGATGCGAAGATGTCTTCCGAATTCTTCATCTTGAAAAAAATCACTTTCTTCTGTAAAACAACAAAAATTTAATTTATATAATAATAATTTATCATCAATTTCTATACACAATATATTTTGAAATAGTCAAAAAATGGGGAGTCATTGATCATGTTTACAAATTTATGGCGTTACCGATCTTTTTACCAAATTAAGGAGTCGTCGATCTTTTTACCCATTCATGATGTTTCCGATCTTTTTACCAAGTTAGGGTGTCGTCGATCATTTTACCAATTTATGATGTTTCCGATCTTTTTACTAAGGTAGAGGGGGGCATAAATATGTTTACCGAGATAGAGCTCAATAATACACTGAATTATATTCTAATTTTAAAGACAATTTTCATTGGAACGATTTCGATGATCCATTCTTGTGTTGTTCATTTATAAACTACCTTAAAAGCAAGAATACAAAGTGACAATATTATCACGGTGAGCTATTGTCTACAAATAAGTGCCACGATTCAATGAAATCCCAAAGGATTTGAGTTAGTTTTCCAGCATAATGGAAAAATCAACTCATACGGAGTTCGTGCAAAACAGACAATGTGATAAAATTTGCGTTTATGAAATACTACTAGTATTAGACTGAGTAAAACGTCATGTTCACAAAACTAGATGATTAAATCAAATGTTTGAGGTCACACCGCTGTCTAGAAATCATCCCATATCTCACGGTATTTTAGTGTAATAAAACAGTGTGATAATTTTATATATCTCCATACAATGTGATAAAAATCACGACAATCTGATTGGTCCATGCAAGCAGATTGAACTTTTGACATCATGACTGAGTATCACAAAATGTAAGAATTTTGATATTCGCCGCTCATTTCGAAATCCTTTTAATGAAAGCTAAATGTCGCCACCATAGGCATAACTTCGAGAATCACAGCTAAGATCTAAATTGTGATTACTTACGTACCACCAAATTCGTCAAGGGAAATTACGTCCAAAACCAAAACGTTAGATTCCAGAAAATATTAGAAAATCTCTTAACTGCCATTAGCCACAGGCCGAGCGGGTAAACGGCAAAATTTACAGAAGATACAAAATTTTCGTCAAATACATCTTCATTTAATTCTGATTAGAATACTATGAGGTTATAAAGAGGATGCCTCAAAGTATGCACGAAGACAGTACAGTGGGAGTATCGACCAACGGGCAGCGGAGGTCGATGCGACGGTGTATTGTCTGAGTACATACTTTAAGGTATCCTCGTAATAACCTTATTATTATACATCTTTTCCTTCCAAAGATACATCATGGGAATGCCGAAATCTAAAAAGTTTAGAACAGAATCAGCGAACTTCTTTGTATGGAGTCCGGTCGAACCCTACTGGCAGTCATGTTTGCTTTATAATTATTAGAGGACGCTTATGCGTGTAATCATTCCATATTTGGAATTCGCTTTTCCTAATATGGTAGGATGAAAATACCACGTAAAATACCGCAAACTTACGTGATGCTGTACTTTTATGGCGTCACGGTGAGAGATGTGTCATGAATTAGTTTTCGCGTATCTGTTGACCGACTTATTTAGCTGGTTACTAGTGAATGGCAGTGTTATATCTGTCACCATTTAGGCTCATGCGAGGTCTTGGACGGAACTTAACTCAGTGATTTGGAACTAATTACGATATAACCGTCGTCATCAGGACCGCTATTTCTGACGTTTGGTATTAGTTATTAATATAGTGAACGATTAATCAAAAGATATGACGTATCCAGTACTTAGTGTGATTGGCCATCTGCCAGTTGAATGTGTTAAACTTCTTTGTAATTGGTTAAGTTTTGATACGTAATAAACGGTCTACGTCCTTGGTCCCGGAGAGAGCTCCACGAGGCGAGAGAGTCTTGGTCAGTGCTGGACAGAGACCCCGACGAGGCAGTTTGCTTTGAGGCGTTCACGATGTGGCTAAAGACTAGCTATTGAAACGTATTTAGCTGTGTGCGTCTATTTGACTTTCCCGGTCCGGCATCTCAAGCAGACGTGATAGAGACAAGACGAAAATTTCCCCCATGACAGATGTATAATAATGTACATTATAACACAAATTAATTCGATGGAACCATAAAATCATCTTCTATAAAGTCTGAAACTCGAAGTTTGTAACTTTTTTTGCTCAAACTGAATCGATATGGATATAATAGTAAATCTTTAAAAAACAACGAATAAAATAGCATTTTGTACAATAGCATGATACATTCCAGCGTAGCCCTCGCTAACCTTTTGCGCAAACTGCGCTAGCGGCTTGACCAGGTAAGAATTATTATCTCAACCCAGACACGTGCTAACAAGCTGTGTGCGGGATTTTCCGTACAATTGCGAGATCTCGCGAGATGCATGAAAGACGCGCGTCGAACGTCTGCCGCAAAAGTCGAACGATTTGATTTTGAACTCGAATTTCTTTATTTCGTAACTCATATCGACCGGCCGATGTTCGACAGAGGAATATTGCTTTCGAATACCCTCACTTAATCAAAATTGCCTATCATCAAATGTGGACAGCACATTATTAAACATGGAAATGTCCCCCAAAATACTTCGCGTTTGTCGGATCCCACGCGATGTTTGACGCGACTACGACGCTATGACCTTTGTTTGTCCTGTTTTTACGTTCGATTTCACGCATAACGCGTGATTCTCGCAGTGAACGGAAAATGGTCTATTGGTGGGAGGTGTCGCATGCGAATCGATCTGATTGTGATAATTTTAAAGCTGAGATCAAAAGTAAGCTCGATTATTTCATGCAATTACTTAGAAAAAAATAAAGCTCAGAAAAATCGCCCGTGTGCTGAGTAGACACAATAAAAATTAATTCAAATTCAAATACTGTAATTAATATGCACAGAGTTGAGTGCAAACCTAATGAGGTCTGTGCAATGTCACAGGCCATCTATGTGACAAGTTTCATTGAATCATTATGCTAATTAGAAGATTAATAGGAACAAATTTTAACCAAAAACTGGGCAGGTATGTGCATCTATGTACAAAGTTTCATTGGCATGGAATAATTAATACTTGAGATATCAGTGTGAAAGCTGAAATAAACTAATTATGTAAATTATGTAATTAATATGCACAAATATTTATCCAAAACTAATCAGTTCTCTGCATAATCCTAGAGTAACTATGTACCAAGCTTCATTGAAATGTAATGATTTGTATATACTTGAAATATCAAAATTAATTACGCAAATTAGGTAATTAATATGCACGGTTATTAACCTAAACCTGCTTGTGCATTGTCCTATAACTTCTATTGAAATGTCATGATTAATACTCGGGATATCAGTGGAAAAGCCGAAAATTATGCAAACTGGGTAATTAATATGCATGGATTTTTTTACCCAAAACTAATCAAATATGTGCAGTAGTCCAGAGCATATATGTACAAGTTTCAAAATCCAATGAGTGGCTCTTTAGATATCAGTGTAACAGTCATGGAACAGCTAAAAATTAGCTTATTATCATGCAAAACCTAGTCGAATCTGCGCATTATTCCAGAGCATATATGCATCAAATTTTATCAAAGACCAACATGTGGTTCTTGGGATATCAGTAGAACGGACAAACACACACACACACAGATAGACTAACTGCAAAGACCCGCGTTGTATGCTTTCCGAGAAGCACGAATCCTTGTACAACGATTGAGCGTCATCTGCATAATGAAACCTGGTAGTTTAAAAAGCACAAGTCCTTTTAGACTTGAGTGCTACATTTGATACTGTAGATTTGGTCATTTTGTTGGAGTGACCTCAAAAATGTGTTGATATTTCAAGGACTGCTCATGCTTGGTAAGAGCCCCGGGGTAAGGTCCCTGTGGTCTTAAGTTTAGGTGGTACATGTACCGGTATAAGGCATGCATGTTGGATGTTCATACTTTTTAAAAAAAATATTGCGGTGTCAGTGTGGTCATGATTTGAAATACATAAGTAAACTGTATACGTCTGTGGCATATGTCTCGACGACCACACACAATAAAGGAAGTTTACGGGTAAATCGTCACTACGTGCATTTAGTTTCATAATCAGCTGATTATTTACTTACTGATTAAGAAAGGAATGCAGTTGAATTTTTTAGTAAACTCAATAAACCTGCGCTTTGACAATAAATTACAAATAGACTCCAACTATAATGAACAGTTGCCTACGGCCACCTGTTGATCTGATGTGCTATGCAAAATAGGAAAAAAAGGTCAGGGTACATAGAGGGGAGCAAGGGGGTAGCTGGTAAAGGTTACAGAATATAAAAACTGCATTTTACGTTTTTACAGGAAATACAATGAAAATTCCATTTACAGTAAAAAATAGGTTTTTACACTTTACAGATAAAGCAAATTTCAAGTTAGATTTTACATTTGTATGATATATTTGATAATTTGTGTTTAAGAATCAAAATTGGAAATTGACTACGAATCATGAAACTTAATTTGAAAAATGCTTTATACACTTACAAAAAATAATATCTTTGTAAAAATTACGGACGAATAAAATAGCTGATTACATTTTACACTTTACTCATGTCTACATTATTACGAAAATAAAAACAATTGATTAAGAAAATACCCTTTGCCGACCCTCGACGTATGTATGTCTGTCCGTCTGTCGGCACGCTTGTTTATACTTCCGCCTGTCGTCGTCCGTCCTTCGATCAGTCTGTCTATTCCAGATAGTTAATATGCATCACCAGTACTTCAAAAACCTGTGTTTGGATTTTCATGACACTTGGTATACAGATACTTTGAGATAGTGGGCAGACCTGATAAGTTTTTTGTTGACCTGCACATTAATAATCTCATTTGCATTTGAGCCAATTCAAGTTATTTCAATGAATCTTGATTGTCAGCCATTGTGAGGTTATGGTATAAATCTGTTCTTATTAATTACCTAATATGCATAATAATTAAACGATTTGTAACTGTTCGATTTATATCTCATAAACCGTTCTACATATGTCAATGAAATACGATACACAAATTGTGATATTCAGATCCGATTACTTTTCGGCTGACATCTGTGAATATTAATTATCTTATTTCTAGAACTTCCCATTTTTAGCAGTTCCACCATTAAACAAACAAAGTTATTTGTGATGTATGGAATCATTTTTCACATGTAATAAAATAAAAATAAACTTTTTGAACACTGTATTCATGGCCAGTTTGTTATTTATATCATTTGAACAATGGTATGATGTAATTATGAATCAGAAAAATACACAATCCAACAATATATTATGTGGTTGCATGCGATTATCAAAACAAAGTTATATTTTTGGATAACAATATATGTTATTTGCGTCCTAATTTATTTTAGTTAATTTAGTATTTTATTCAAATATAGATCGATTTTAATGAGTTTCAAAAATTTATTATTTCAAAATAATTGTAAAATATAGTAACCCGATTTAATTCAATTTAATTCATTTTGTTTTTTGGAATTCAAATACAAATGTAATGTTTGATTATAATAATAATGCTGAAGTTTCAAATCCACTGTCAAATTTGAGATTGTTTTTAATGGTGAACAATAAGTCTTGATTTCCCCGATTAATGTTCGCCAATTAGCTTGTATTAGTTAACTGGGGTTTATGCACATAGGGGGTTTCTGTTTGTATTGTCAACTTCAATATTTTGGATCAAACTCCTTTGACAATTGTGATTCTCACACAGCAGAACTATATTTTTTTCATGTATTTTGATTAACGAATTTTACATAATGTTAACTAATTATTAATATTGAAAAATATAATTTTGGTAATAAATCTTATTTTATTCAACTAATGGGCGTCACTTCATACAGTAAATAACATTTCTATCAACAAATTAATATGCAAATCAGCCGCAGACCGAAGACAGTTTTCTGCTGAGAACACTGATGTCAACTGCAACTAATTTTATATGACTATACGACTACCTTTCCATTATTCGATGATTATCGAGTTCGCCCTAGTGTCAATATGTGCTAGTATTACACCTCTGCTCTCGCTTGGGGTCGAGTAACACATTGTTCAAGTAGTTAATTTTGTAGACACACTTCACGACAAGACGAGTCGACAGTAATCATACCTGTTCAATTATGTTCATGGGACACTCTGGGAGTGGCGAGGGTCTCAATAGTTACATAGAGTCACTGATCTTATTTAGACTGAGTTTATACTTTCAATTTGTCTGATTCATGGACGTCCTTGGCCTGACTCAATGTCAACTTTACCGGGCCTGTTCCACGTCTTACCACGTCCACCACATTTAGAATCACAGTTGTATGTACATTGCAGATGAAACTACTCTATGTGTACAATTTGAACTTCTTTGAGTTATTGTAGTGAAATGACTCCACGTATTTAGTTTAATGCGTCACTCTAGTGCACCGAGCACTTTCTAATTGAACACAATGAGGTGACCCATGACTGTGACATGGCGTACGATAGAAAACGACAAATAACCTTCATGTTCGTTCACCAAGGTGGTCTCGTGCCTCATACAAATACCATAGTTAGATTCCAAGTATTGCTGTTGTATATTTAAAAAAACTAGTTACTTTCGACACTCGATATACATACCTATGCGTATACAGCGAATCTTACGCCGCCTTTCTGTAACTTGAACACTCCTTTCACCCAGGCTTACGATATCGACATCATTAAACAGTAAAGTGAAATGTAAATGTGTAAATCAACATAACAATGGTCTGTTTCTAACCAAGGGACGGAGTTGATGGCTGCCATTCTGATGGTGTGTTCATATGGGCTCTCTAGTCACTTCGTCTCCATATATAACGAACATTTCAGTGGACATTTCACTGCTTTCAGTCACGGAATAGGAAACTTCATAAAACTGTCAGAAGTATTAATTGTAATGCTATTATATCTTAGAGGGAAAGCACATTTTGAACCACTATAGTAGACGAGTGGAAACCCGTGTATTCTGGGAAGATATTTTTTGTGAATTTCAGTTGTTAGGGAAAACTTAAACTTTGTGAAGTTGTATTTATCATTATAATGTTTGGTTTCCCAGCAGCCCGAGTTTAGTAGACAGTTCCATTGTTCCGCGATGACCCACAACATGTGACGACAAGAATACTGTGATTGTTCGTTGAGGACAGACACAGCACACTGGCCCAGCAGTTATACGTTCCCTCAGAGTAGACGCCACAATGTTAAACATGAATGCCACATTTTTCACTGCTAAGTAGGCAGCCAGCCACTGGGAGTTGACAGTAGAGTGAATCTATCATTTTCCTGACGCTGGGCTACCACGGCATTACATCACTATTTTATCTCTATCGGACTCTGGCATCCACATCGTTCCGGTCAGCCAAATGCTTCTACCCTATAGCCGTCCGACGCATGACGTCAAATTTATGTAAGGCCCCTAGGTATAGTAGTCTTTGCTGCATCTAGTATAATAATTGTATTTTCTTTCTTTTTTTATTTCACTTTATAGTGCGCAAGGCCAATCCAATTTCTAGGTATATTTTTTAATATATTCAGCCAATAAACTATAATATGATTATGTTACGCTGTATGTCAGATGTTTTGATAACTTTTTTTTTCAAACAAATATGGATAATCTAGTAAACTTACCGAATAGATAAAATATATCATTTCTACTGGAGTGTATTCACCAATTCCGTAGCTGGCTCTACGGTCTTGCTATCGTAAATGTATACTAATATTAACAAGCCATGCATTGCACAGTCCCCATTAGTTATCAAATTTTAGATATAATAGTATAGTTTTGTTTATAGTAATATAGGAACATAAACATGTCAGAAGTATGGATCCAGAAGATGATGCTTGATTATGATGATTTTTTAACATTAAAATGATTGACATCTTGTATCTGATCGTCAAACGAGTACTTGTCTATATTGAGAGATATTGCTCTGGAACAGCATTAATTAAAACAAAATCAGCCACTTTGAATACATGTATATATCTATAACATGATGTAAAACGATTATATAAAATTTGAACATAATCAGTCAAAGCACATTAGAGATATGGCTCTTGAAGCGCATTCATTTAAACAAAATGGCCGCCAGTCAGTCATATCTGAAAAATAAAATGACGTGCATCAGGAACCCCTAATCTTTAAAGTATGTACCAAGTTCGAACAAAATCCATCCATAAGCACCAAGATCCAGTTCTGGAATGCCAGAAATGCTTGATTTTTGACAATTTTTTAACACAAAAATGCCTGCCAGTTGGCCATTTTGAATTTGTGTCCGAACGAGGACTAATAAAAACGATAGATAAGTGGTGATCAAATGGTGTTCCTGCTAATAGAAGAATAACCTGGAGAGATCTCGTGCTTCTCGAAAATAAAGCCTACTTCAATTTATAACTCAATCTTGCATACATTTTACAGAATTTGACTTGATTTGACTATGAAGTTACTTGAGTAAGAATTGCAAACTTCTCGGGCACTAAAACTAAAATGACGGTGCTGAAAATTCGTTGACACAATACACATATACAAGTAAAAGATTCAAACAGAACACATTGATTTGGATAATTATCATACTTAGTTTACAATAACAAAATATACATCAATAACAAAATAAAAAAGACTCAAATATTGACCAGTATCTTAGCAAGCCGTTCTCAAACCTCGAAATAAAAATACACGTGAAATAAAATATATATATATATCATTAAGACTTAAAATATGCGGATATATATAATCCGTCAGCTTTCATAGTTTAAATGATGTTCGATCAATTCTATCCCATCATATTTCATCTTCAGAGGTAAATTATTTTCCCCCAATATTGCATACAAAAAGAACCTTAAAAGTTTTTCGTAGTGGCATTTAAAAAATATATACGTATATGGCATTACAGTCACCAAACAATCCGACATTACGAGATCTAGTTTGCTTTCCATTGTCTTCAAGACGATCGTTCATGTAGGTATAAAGTCAGAAGTAACAAATGACATCTCATCTGAATACCCGTTCAAACGTGGTTTCTTTATATTTCTCGCGCACATAGTAATTACGTGATTTCCGACAATATTATAACATCATATATCCTCATCTATTAAAATAACCATAATTAAAAACAACAAATAGTATATTCTTTTACAATTAACGACTATTAAAAATGGTGGGTATTACTTAATTGCTTGTCAATGTCAGTCTCGTTGTGGTTACGTGACCATGATAATAACCTCCGGTAAATATGTGAATATTGCATTAATTATTGTCCACAAATTAATTAAGTTGATTATTACTATCTTATTTCAAGTTCAATGTCACCTACATGAAACATAGGATTCATAACATTATGTCTGGGGCCAAACGGACCTGCTTGAGCAAACTTGGGTGCAATAACATCGTGATGCGAGATAGGATGTATAAAAGTGGTCTCAGAGTGAGGAGCTTTCGGATCAAATTTTCGATGGCGGATGTTCTCTGGCGTCGATTTCGCTCCCATTATCTGTAGTTTTTCTTCGATCATTCTCTGCTTAAGCGTTTTATATCGAGATTTAGTGTCTTCGTCTTTCAAGTTGTTAACATTCAACCCGTCATATGCTGATAACGGTACACTGCCTGTCTTCTGAAGACTGCCTTCGAGTTGTGATATTCGGTTCATCACATCAGTTGTTATGTCTTGTACATTCTTCCTGTAATACAAGGACACAGCGGTATATTTTAAAGTACAAACCATGAATTTAAAACCCAGTGAATATGATCAATATTACTATTAAACACCGACGAAATTCAATGCCTATAATAATGTAGTACATGTACATCCATTTAAGGAAGGGCATTGATGCGGATATTCTATAGAATAACCTGTCGTACTAGCGCTAAGCAATCTCACGTTAAAACGGGAGGGTCGTAACCTGCGCGCGCGCGGGAATTGAGTCCTAAGCGACGATAACAACACACGCTACAAATGCAAAGGCTCATGGGTAGACGCATGTTTGTAAACATTTACACGATATGGTCATCTGACGCATGCGCAGGTGACGACTCCCTCGCTTTAACTGAATAAAAAATAAAACACACCTGAATGACGTCATCTCATCTCTAAATTCTTTGAATTCTGAGAGAGTTAATGGATTTGAATCGTGATGTCGGTTTACATACTGTCTTCTGGCAAAATAACGTTCTACAAGTTGATGTACAGTTTTCTGAGGGAAGATGAAATCAACACCAATATATGACAAGTGTAACTTATACGTGTGATTACGTAAACAGACACAAACAGAACCATCATGAGATCAGTAAACAGATGATAATGAAACCGAGAGCGAGGCCATCTGCATCAAATTCACACTAAAATCATTTATTGAGACAAGTGTATGTTGTACCACGGTCGTCAATCACCGTGAGATCATGACCAAATAAACGAACCTTGGTTTGCAAAAATGAGGTTGTACATGTAATAGTCTGTGTAATGCAAACCACACACAAACACTGTTATAAAATTGTTATCATATAAAACTTACGCGATAGTAAACTTCTTTTCGTTTCAGCATCTCCAAGTTTTTCTGAAAATGTACAATTAAAGTTGGCTAACGCATTTGTCAATATACACGTATGAAAAAGCGCCATAATATAATTTTTAAGGTCGTGCGAATCTGCAAAAAATTTAAATAGTCACATTTTGATTTTTACCACCAAAACCCCCAGTAAACCGGGCATTCCACACATTGAGTATACATTAAAAAATGATTGACGGGAATATTGTTCAATACAATAATATTAAGGATATCTTAAGATGGGATTTAGATCAAAATATATATTACAGTCATTTCATAAAGAGGAGGGGCCGTGGTTTTATGCAGTGTAATGTTTTATGCAGTGTAATGTACCACACGGAGAACGGTTTGGGAAATTTGGCCCATGACAACATAACACAAAAACATGTTACGCAGTTTTAAGTTCACGCAAAACATCAACATGATTTAAATGGGACACACCACTACAGAATGTCAAAATGAGACAAAACTGTATGACGTTACAAATGAGACACAACGAAATGAATTGCGACATTTATTGTACTACCACGTGTTATCCCACATATCGTGGCAGTGTAATAAAACAGTGTAGTGATTGTCTATATTTTCATACCATGTAATGAAAATCCCAGCAATCTGATTGGTCCGCGCAAGCAGATTGTTCACTAGGCATTGTGACTGCCTATAGCGAAGTACTAGTAGGCTAATATTTCAAGATATTGGTTTTACACAATATTTCTCGAATTATTTTTATTATTATTATTATTATTATTATTATTATTATTATTATTATTATTATTATTATTATATTAATTCGAATATTTTGGTAGTTTCAGATGCCGACTAAAACGCGTGGGTGATATAAAGCCGCGTATATGTGAGAACTCATTAAATTTACCAAACACAAACTTCTATGCATAGTGACGTCACGGATTGTGAAACGACCACGATGTGAATTGACTTCAACATTAGTAACGATATTACCAACGATATTATCAAGATATAATATTCGTGACCATACAATATTAGATTTATTAAACTCGTGTAATAATCATAATTAATATTTGTTCCGAGACTTTGATTCTTTTAACAAATTTCATAAACACTGAAAACTGAAACTCATTCAACCTTTTTCCATATAATGAAGCATGACGTAACAATGTGCAACATATATTGGAGTATGACGTGATAATGTGCAACATATAACGGAGTATGACGTAATAGTGCGTAACATATAATGGAGTATGACGTAATAATGTGCAACATATAATAAAGTATGACGTAACAATGTGCAACATATATTGGAGTATGACGTGATAATGTGCAACATATAACGGAGTATGACGTAATAGTGCGTAACATATAATGGAGTATGACGTAATAATGTGCAACATATAATAAAGTATGACGTAACAATGTGCAACATATATTGGAGTATGACGTGATAATGTGCAACATATAACGGAGTATGACGTAATAGTGTGTAACATATAATGGAGTATGACGTAATAATGTGTAACATATAATAAAGTATGACGTAATAATGTGCAACATAATGGAGTATGACGTAACAATGTGCAACATATTATTACACAGCGACGCAAAGCATCCTAGTATTCAGGAAACTCAACTCACTTTTTATATTTTCCAATACTGTAATTGTCCAAGATACACTTACGTAAAAATACACTACACTCACCTTTGGATTTCTCCTGCATGGGGTACAACAAAATATAGACTTTAGGAAATAGAAAGCAGATTTTGGGCTTGGTATAATGTTGAATGGTACAGGGAGAGTACCGCCTTCCTGGAAGTAACCCACCCACATCTCAGCCCGATAGAACTTCCATTCAATGTCGGAATTGTCCTGTAAACCAAGTTAATATTTATTAATTACACATTAGAATGATTTTTAGAATGTTGCTATATTTACTGAATTGTCATGTACTAGTATTTTATCATTGCTGGGTCCCATCAACTATGATGACGTCATCTTACCTGTACTTTAGAATACGTGTTACTCATAATAGCAATAAGTAGATTTAATAAAACGATTACAGCGATTATCATATACATAGCGTAGAGAAATCGTCCAAACCCTTCCGATGATTGGTGATCGGCTTTCACGTTCAGATCTGTCAGAGCAGTAAGGTCAAATAGTGACCACAGTAAAGTTGCCATACTCGAACCAACACTGCAAGCACACAAACATATGACGTAACAATACTGGTAATTTATCACATAGTAAGGTAGCGTGATGGAAGTAAAAAAATAACTGGTGGATCTAAAGTAGATGTAGGATATGTTGCATATACAGAGTAAACCAACAAATCACGCTGTGAACTAATATACTTTATATACACGCCTTCGACATGTCGTTGAAGCGGAGGGGCTGTCACCTGCGCATGCACGGGAATTGAGTCCTAAGCAACGATAACAACGTAGGCCAAACACGAAAACACTCGTGATTGGACGCTTGTTCGTAAACAAGGACACGCTATGGTCGTTTATCGAACGCGCAGGTGTCTACTAACCCGCTTTATTTTTTTCTACATGTTATCCATTATATTGGTTCACTAACTGTACAAATAGCTTATTTTGCCAGGTAGTAGAGTCTATAATGTCAAATTAATGAAACAAATATAATATTCAGCATGAAACTCCAGGATCAATTATTTTTTAGTGAAAGATATTTGTATGCCATTACACATCTAATGACCGGCATGCCCCATTCCTCTATGCAAATCACATAAATTAAATATTAGCTTACACATGCTCGTTATTAAAACAAGTTAAACAATTTAGAAGTTAAAGAAGAATTCGATATTTATAATTGGGTGCATAGAAATGCGCCCTCTCTAGAGCAGAATTCATTTACCTGCTAAATGGCTGTTTGTCACAGTCTGTCGCATTTGGTGTTTGATAACATTGTACTTCTGCCTCGGCATTGTACGACCAATATATCTGTGTCAAACCAAGAGAAAAAGCCGTCCAAGCACAAAAAAATATAAACAAAAATTTAAAGATATCCAAAACAATCTTCTGAAGTGTGATTTGCATGGGTCCTATCTTTTGACTGATAACGGTAAGTCTGAGGATGCGCAGAACGCTGAGAACATTAGCAACTGCAAAAATACATTCAGCAATTAGAGTTGGGTCCCACTGATTCCACTGAGAACGTGGGATAATATAGGATAGATCATCTTGGAATTCTTGAAAGTAGGAATCGTCCTGCCACCAAGTATCGTCATCAAACCCGACGGAATCGTCCTGTTTCGTCGTGCCATTGGATATCGCCTCCAAACCAAGGATTTGCCCTAAGACAATGCTTAATTCTGTAATAGATTCTCCAAGTCTTTCGTGCGATATCTGCATTTCCGAAGACAGAGTCCCAATAATATCGTTGGCAACAGATGTGATCTGTTCTTCTGTGAAGACACGGGTTCCATTGTGTTGTTTTCTGACAAAATCATCTGTCGTCTGCCGTTTACTCACTGAAATTATGCTTCCATCAGCAGTAGCAAAGTTCGGTATATACTGTCAATGTAAAACAAATCACATTCATTAGCCTACAGGAATGGCACACGTCATCAATTAGTGCATATGATATATAGACTTCATAAGATGCTCCACAAAATAGTGATGCGTCGTTGATGGCAGTCTTTACACCCTACATTGTACATTACATTTCTTGTTGAAAACGCAAATCATTCATGAAACTACAGACAATTAAGAATAATAGGAGTGATATGAGTCAGTTAGTTGTCTTTGTTGCACTTTTGAAATGTACTGTATATGATGTTTTTTGATTAGTAGACTAAAATAAACTAAAAG